GAATCCCCGTGATGGAGTGAGTTCCTATTGCTCTGTCCCAGATCCTGCCAACCTAGCAGTTTGGAAGCAGCCTGTGCAAGTAGATAAATAGGTACTGCTCTGGCGGGAAGGTAAACAGCGTTTCTGTGCGCTGTGGTTTCTGTCACGGTGTCCTGTTGCACCAGAAGCAGTTTAGTCATGCTGGCCACCTGACCCAGAAAGCTGTCTGTGGACAAACGCCGGCTCCCTCGGCCTGAAAGCGAGATGAGCGCTGCAACCCCATAGTTGCCTTTCACTGGATTTAACTGTCCAGGGGTCCTTTACCTTTAGTAGGAGCACCTATGCTTCTTTCACTATTGATAGTTCCACTGTGGAGTGCAAAATAGACAGGATTCCTTTTTGTGTTTCTGTTTTTCTCTAGCTGATCTAAAACGAACGATTGCAGTTCTTCTAGATGACATCTTGCAACGCTTGGTCAAACTGGAAAACAAGGTTGATTACATGGTTGTAAATGGCTCAGCAACAAATACTACAAATGGGAACTTGATGCCAGCAACTACAAGCAAACGGGTAAACAAAGTGATTCTGACTCGTGTCTAGTTCTGTTACAATAGGAAAAAAACCACAAACCAATGGTTGGCATGGAGGTCTGCATCCTGTTGCAACAGGAAATGCTGAATACAGTTCTAACTTCTTTTATATCAAGCTCTAAAACCTTTTAAAGATAGCTCTTTCATAAAGCAACACTGTACAACATCTTATTTAAAAGAGATGCTGGAAACATAGCTAGTGTAGTAAGGAAAGTAGATAATGTGTACATCCATATGTGAGGTTCTATGATAATCATGGAGATTATGATCATGAAAAAGAGGTAGATTTAATATCTAAATATCTATTTAAATATAAATCTAACACATCTTTGGAAATTTTAGCTTAATCTTGTGACCTGGTTTACTAATGCATAGCAATGAAGGATAATATGAGCCTTTAATATGAGTGCTGGAAATTTATGTATGTGTAAAGTATATTTTAACATCACCTTTGGCTGACTGATTTCTACAATGGATATCATGTTGTGGATAACATTCTAAAATGGTGATCCAAAGAATGTCTTTTATTTGCACTATCTGTGAAATAGCTAGAGAGAATGTATTAAAAATACTATCGTTTGTAAAAGCTTAAAAGGGCGACCTGCCCAAGTGCACACACACTTGCTACAGAAATTAGGACGCTTAGATGATCAAAGATAATCTGTGATGGTACATAGCGGTTAACAATAAATAAATGTATGTATTTAGCAACTGAAGATAAAAACCTTAAGTGATAGAAGCCACACTTACCAGGTATTGAACACTGCTAGCTTTTCGTCCATTGTTTTTTTGGTGAATATTTGAGTATCCTACAGCCTATGATGAATGTAACACTAGCTCTTAAGTTACTCTTTTTAAAGAAAACCAAGAGTGACAAGCTGGATTTAGATGAAGGGAAGCAAGGCACCTTTATACTTACTGAAAAGATGAGCTAGAGGGGTACAGTCTCTCAGGCACTGCTGCTTTGCAATGGCCTTTTGAATGAGTGTTGCTTGTGAAACAGTAGTAAACCCTGGTGGATTTGAACCCGAGCTCTCCCATGGTGGACTTTAAATTGAGTGGGAGCAAAGGTGAACATTGCCTTATATCCATGTTAGCCTTATAGCAGAGAATTTGCAGCAAGGGTACACTATGTTACACAGTGTGCTTTTTGTATCCTAAATTATAAAAATGAAGTGCCAGTCTTGAGTTTTTGCATCTATACGGAATGATCTCTAAAGGGTTTGTTTTGGTATTTTATGCTTAAAATATGCTGTGTAGGTTTTTTGGGTTTTTTTTAAAGAACTTTTATTTAAAGGGAGAACAAGATTTGCGGTGCTAGATTATATACCGTCCTGAATTATTATCCCTGCAGATGATTATAGCATCTGGATAGAATAAAATAAATAAAGTGAAATATATGGTCAAAGGTTTTGAGTGTCCAATAAGTTCTTATCCTCAGTAGGAGTGTATTCATGATTTTGCACAAAATGAAAATCTTTTAACTGTTGCTTTAAAAATTAAATGACTAGAAGTCACATATCACAGGCTAGACTTGGTAAATAAAAACACTAATGGTATATTCTATTCTACTCAGAAGTAAACCTAGGAATAATCCTTGCTAAACTCAGCGAGGCTAGCTTTGGAGTACAGTGGTACCTCAGGTTGCATACACTTCAGGTTACAGAGTCCGCTAACCCAGAAATAGTGCTTCAGGTTAAGAACTTTGCTTCAGGATGAGAACAGAAATTGTGCTCCGGCGGCGCGGCAGCAGCAGGAGGCCCCATTAGCTAAAGTGGTGATTCAGGTTAAGAACAGTTTCAGGTTAAGTACGGACCTCCGGAACGAATTAAGTACTTAACCCGAGGTACCACTGTATACATTTCACAGAATTATATCATAAGGCTACATTCCTGAGCACATACATTTCTAAGCCTCCTGAAACTTTTTTTGGTCAGTAAATTTAATTGGGACTTGATTCACAAGCTACGGGACAGTCTATCCCTTAACATGAGGATAAGGGAACATACAAGAGGCCAGCATTGTATGAATCCTTGGGTTTATCTACCACCTTTGAAAGTTTGATGCAGAATTTCTCTTTGCTGTGTGACATTCTCCACTAGTCATATACAGGAGCAGACCTGACGGATCAGGGCCAAATGCCCATCTAGTCTAGGATTCTTTTCTCATAGTGCTCAGCCAGATGCCTATGGAAAGTCTGTAAGGAGGTTTTGAGTGCCATTGTAATCTTTCCCACTAGCGATTCCGAAAGTATGATATACAACATTGGATGTAGATCATAGCCATCATAGCTAGTAGCCATTTGAAGCTTTACTCTTCATGAATCTGTCTAATTCTCTTTTAAAGTCAGCCAAGTTAGTGGCTGTTACCACATATTGTGGGGTGAATTCTGCAGTTTATGCATGGGATGAAGAAGCACTTTATTTCATCTGTCCTAAATCTTGCAGCATTCAGCTACATTGAATAATAATAATAATAAATCTGGGCTGCTCCCAACAGAATATTAATAATAAAAAAGCGACAACATCAAACATAAAAACTTCCCTAAACAGGGCTGCCTTCAGATGCCTTCTAAAAGTCAGATAGTTGTTTATTTCCTTGACATCTGATGGGAGGGCGTTCCACAGAGCGGGCACCACCACCACCAACAAGAAGTCCCTCTGCCTGGTTCCCTGCAACCTCACATTTTGCAGTGAGGGAACCACCAGAAGGCCCTCAGAGCTGGACCTCCGTGTCCGGGCTGAATGATGGGGGTGGAGATGCTCCTTCAGGTATACTGGGCCGAGGCCTATTATGAGAGAGGGGTTGAACTGGAAGTTAAGAGAACTGTGTGCAAAATAAATACAGCACTTTTTTTTAAAAAAAAGTTTTTCACATAGCAACTCTCACACTTGAGGAGGCGAGCTCCTTTTTAGTTTAAAATCAGCTTGTCTTTTCCCCTGGATATGCTACAGAGAAACCTAAACTAATGTTTTGGTTCCGTGTTCTTTCTCTAGCTTGATTTTTTTTGGGGGGAGGCAATATTATTTGTGTATTAATGAATTGTATGGAGAGCTTAATATAAAAGGTGAAATATCAAAAGAACCACGTCTTCTGCTGCTAGTCTCAACAAATGTAAATAATGAGACATTACTAAATGTTTGTAGTAGGACATCGTCACCAGCTCTGCTCCTGGGCCTGATCTGGAGTGAAGAATGCTTTCAAGGACGGCAAGGACAGCTTGAACCAACACTGCCAGTGGCCAGGCAGGAGGGGAACTCCACCCCTGTCCCCCTGTGATAATTTTCCTTGCAATCAAGCCAGAGGACACTTTAGTCAAAAATCCCTCACAAAATGGCTACGAGGTTTTTTAGGCTGCAGGGCTTCTTTCTTTCTTTCTTTCTTTCTTTCTTTCTTTCTTTCCAGTGCATAAGGGTGGTAGCAGCTACCTGGAGACACATGAGGTTGCAAGGCTGAGGGTGTTTGGATCCCTGGGGTCCAAAAACCATGAGTGAGGGCAGCGAGCTGAGTTCAGATTCCGTTCCTCAGGTCCAAGCGTTTTGCTGTTACCTTGAGAGTTTAAAATTCCAAGTCTGCAGCACAACTGAAGTGGTGTGAGCCATCTTTTAAAATGGATTAAAACTCTCTGTGTTATACATATTGATGTAAAAATTGGGGTTTGGCTTTTGGTGCCCCAACTCCCCATGGGATTCCATGGGTCCCCTAAGTCCATGATCGGTCAGAGAAGAATGGATGGAGGCAGGATCCAGTGGAAAGCAAGGCAGAGATTTGGTTTTCTATTGCAACAGAGTGTGCAGGAACCTTTTGACATTGCCTAACGAACCCACTTAGCCAAAGACCACCCCAAAATCATCACACATACATCATAGGAGGTGGGTCTACAGCAGAAATCCTGTCTGCCAGGATACCTAAGAATGGTCCCTGATTGCATTGCCTGGGCAATCATTTTGTGATGACTATTACTGTTGTTGTTGTTGATTAGTCCTTTAGTTGTGTCCGACTCTTTGTGACCCCATGGACCAGAGCACGCCAGGCACTCCTGTCTTCCACTGCCTCCCGCTGTTTGGTCAAACTCATGCTGGTAGCTTTGAGAACACTGTCCAACCATCTCGTCCTCTGTCGTCCCCTTCTCCTTGTGCCCTCCATCTTTCACAGCATCAGGGTCTTTTCCAGGGAGTCTTCTCTTCTCATGAAAAAGTATGGCCAAAGTATTGGAGCCTCAGCTTCATGATGTCCTTCCAGTGAGCACTCAGGGCTGATTTCCATAAGAATGGATAGGTTTGATCTTGCAGTCCATGGGACTATTACTTTACTTGACCTGAATCCAGGTCACAGGCTCGCCCTATTCATACACAAAGACGCTCTTAGAACAGGATTTGTAAGGGGGAGGGGAGAAAACGGGCTGGCTTTCCCCATTTGCCTCCCTTAACCGCAGAGGAATACAGTATTTGAGGTCAAAATGGCTTCAGGATTGCTCTCAAAACACGGTTTATATAGTCAGATACGTGTGCATTTATGAATATTTATAGTTGGGGCCTTAGGGTTGCCTATAATAATATTGAACTGGGTTAAGTTCGAACCATCGAGGGGGAGTTAGCGAGGCGTGAGGGGTTTCTCACCCCGTCAGCAAAAAGCGAAAGCCGGCGCTGAAAGGCGCGCTTGGAACCGTCGCTTAGAGACCCAACAAACGGCGAGGGTTGGCGAAGCAGCCGCCTCTCCCGCCTCTCCTGGTGGCGGGGAAGGGAAAGGGGAGGGCCGCCTCTTTGTCTCCCGCGAGGCCCTTCAGCCCTCGGCGCCGCGTGCCTCCCTCTTTCGGTAGGGAAATCCGGCCGCGGGGAAGGCTCATCCCGGCCATGGAGCGGCTGACTTTGCAACCGGGGGCCGCCGCGGCCATAGACGAATACCTGGAATACAAGAGGTGAGCGGGACCGAGGGGGACGAAAGGCCGCCGGGGGGGGAGGAGGAGGGGATCGCTAGCAGCGATCGCCACTGCGTAGGTAGCGGGCCGAGGGGACGGGACGCTCCGCTCAGGTCTCCTCCACTTTTTGTTGGGGCTCGAAGTCTTTTCGCTCGGAAAAGCCAAAACTCACGAGGGGCCCTCTGAGCATGTGCAAAGGGCACGTCCTTCACCCCGAGCAACCTAAAGGACCGTCTTTCCGCACAGATCCTGGCAACCTGCCTTCTTCCTAAGCGTGATACTCCTGAGCGATGCGCCACCTAGGCATGTTTTTATTGTTTTAGCTCTTTGTAAGACGCTTTGATGTTTTTTCTTTCCCCCCCACAATCAGTCAGTGAGCAAAACACATAAGAGAGCTGTCCGTGGGGCACCAGTCTTGCTTTAACAAGGTGGGTGTCTTTAACAGGGCTAGCCTCTGTTTGTTAAGAGCTTGAAAGAGTATTTAATTCCAACCGAATCTAAAGATAGCTCCTTTTTGTGGTGAGTTCAAATCGGTTATAGGTTTTAGTTTAAGGTGTGAGTGACTAGGTCCTAGGATATGAAGTCGTATGGAATACATGTTTAAACTTTATGATTTATAGCCTTTTTAAAGAATGAAGTCCTCAACCGCTTCCTCCAGTTAGAGGCAGTTAAACGGGAATGTTCCATGAAATATGCTGAGGATTGTAGCACTGTTTTGATGTTGGGACATATATATGAGCAGAAATAGAACACCCGGCAAACATTGTCTCTTCACTTTCTACTTTCTCCCAAGCCACAGACATTTCAACAGTCTTCATTTTTGTGTGTGTGTTATCAGAACATTGATGTTTGTAATTAAACATGCAACGCTTCTTCGTAGAATTGTAGGCGAAGATGATGGAGGGAAACTTTTTACTCCTGAAGAATATGAAAAGTACAAGAAAAAAATGTTACCAATACGGTTACAAAACAGACTGTTTGTGAGCTGGAGATCACCAACCGGCATGGACTGCAAACTTGTGGGCCCCGAAACCCCATGTTTTTGTACTCACAGGTGAGGCATTCTGTGCCCTACATAGACATTTCCTGTTCAAAGGAAGTATTTTTTTGTTGTGCAGTTAGCTTGAGAACTTACGGCTTGCAAAGCTTTAGGAAGTATTTATTTTTATTTATTAAATTACTGTACCGCCTTTCATCCAAGGATCACAGGGCGGTTTAGAATATTTCTTAGATCAGGAAAATTGTTTCATAATATTCCATATAAATTATAAATGCATCAAAAATGGAAAAGAGCACCTTCAGGTTATGTTTCAAGTACCTTGGGATGACATTCAAAGGTATATTCCAAATAATTTGAATGGTCTACAAATTTAAGTGTCTAAATATTTTACTGGGATCCCCCTCTGCCATGGTCCACATAATGCTAAGCTACGGTTTATAGACAATTGCTTACTAAATGAGGGTTTAACACGAACATCCAGCCCAGCACCTTAGCCATGGTTTATTGACCACAAACAAACCATGCTTGTAAGCCACAGTTTGTTATTGGTTTAGAAACCTTGGTTAGCATTACCAATGGCTTTAACATTACAATGCGCCTTCATTTCCCCCCTGGCACATGTAATGTTCAGACTTATTTCAGTCATGGCTTTGAAGAAGCAGCAATAATTTTTCTTGGCAAGGCCCTGCTCCACCTCCTGCCTCTGAACTGTGCCAGCTGCTCAATATAGGAACAGCCGTCTAGAAATTGATGCCTGAGTTTTATTTTCCTTTTTCCTCATCCTTTCCCCCTTGTGCATTGTATTTAATAATAATAATAATAATAATAATAATAAAAAATTAAGAATTTAAGTAGGGTGTGTCTTGTTTTGTTTTGCTCTGGGTCTGCCTTTTTGTCTGAAGAGTAGGGTACAAATTCTCTAAATAAATGATAAATAAATAAAGCAAATGATCGCTGAATAGTATGTTTACATTTCCCTTCCCCCAGGTATAAACAACACAAAACAGACTTTGAAGAGATCCCAAAGGAACGTCCTATTTCTTTACCCTGTAGGGTGGGCCATTGCCCATGCAAATCTTATAACTTCGTTCCTCTCAATGGGACTCAGCCCATCCGCTGTAGATGTAAGCACTTTGCTGATCAGCACAGTGCGGCACCCGGGTTTCCATGCAACACATGTAAGTGAGTTTTGGATAAATAAGCATGTCATATGTAAGTGTAGCAGTTTTTCATTACACAGATATGTCCCTTGAGGCATTGTGTGATACTATAACCATGTATATTTGTAGGTGTGGAGAGTACTAATGAAAATGTGCTGGGTTCTGTAACTAGAAAACTCATATTCAGCAGGCAAGCTCAACATTGTATTTCACATTCCAAATCTGGTTAATCTGCATATTATGAAACCGTTTCCTGATTTATGCTACTTCCGTATTTGGAAGTCTGAACCTGGGCTTTTTGAAGGATACTTTTTCTGCCACTGGCAGCTTTCTGTATAAGTAGAGTCCATCTGCACATTATTGTTTAAATATGTTTCATTGTACCGGTAGAATAAATAGTATTTATGACCTCAAAATATTGTAGGCCTTAGATTTCCACCATGTCTGCCCTTACACATCCTATTAAGCTGTTTCCAGCTGTAGCAATTGTTTGTGTAGTTGGGGCTACAGAGAGGAAATACTCAAAACAAAACTGCCACTGAGTGAAAGGGAGTCAAATATTTTGGTCTATCTGATGCTGTCTTAAAATGTTTTGAATTAGGTTCCAAATGTTCAGGGTTTCACAGTTGCTTTACTTGTGGATGTGGGCAGCCAACATATGCTCATGAAACAGTAGTGGAAACAAAAGAGGAACGCTTAGCCCAAGGAAAACCAGTGGGGCAAGATGTCCCATATGCCGCCATGGGAGGACTAACTGGCTTTAGTTCACTAGCAGAAGGATACATGAGACTTGATGACAGTGGGATAGGTAAGAATCGGGGGACTTGAAATGAAAAATTGAATTTACATCTATCTGTTTTTTGCTTTATTGATAGTTCCAAAGTGTATCAGATAATTTAACCAGATTGCAACGTCTATGTAGTTTTAAATTATAAATATAGGTGCAGAAGTACCAATCTGGTTGTCTGATGCCCCACAAAATGAATGGTATGTTTTTCCTAGCAATGTGCAGTTGGAAAGACTAGGTCAGCACCATGGGGTTTGACCTGTGGTACCCCTCAAGCAGGGATGTGGGTGGCGCTGTGGGTTAAAGCCTCAGTGCCTAGGATTTGCCGATCGAAAGGTCGGCGGTTCGAATCCCCGCGGCGGGGTGCGCTCCTGTCGCTCGGTCCCAGCGCCTGCCAACCTAGCAGTTCGAAAGCACCCCCGGGTGCAAGTAGATAAATAGGGACCGCTTACTAGCGGGAAGGTAAACGGCGTTCCATGTGCTGCGCTGGCTCGCCAGATGCAGCTTGTCACGCTGGCCACGTGACCCGGAAGTGTCTGCGGACAGCGCTGACCCCCGGCCTATAGAGTGAGATGGGCGCACAACCCTAGAGTCTGTCAAGACTGGCCCGTATGGGCAGGGGTACCTTTACCTTTTACCCCTCAAGCCTTGGCCTTATTGCCATGCAGTTTAACATTCATATGAAGCCATTGGAAGAGATAATTTGGAGCTTTGAAGTTGGGTGTGGCCAAACTGATGATTCCCAAATCTATGGGTGGTATTTAACTAAATTTTACTCATTGTGGACCTCTTGACATTGATAGACTTAATTTAGTTGTCTTATTTCATTTCAAATATTTGAGTAAAACTTGGTTGACTACCACTCTATATTTCTTGGCATTTTAACCCTATATCAGTTTGGAAGCTGGGGACAAATGATAAAGTAAAATAATAAATAACCTGAAACTGATTCCAAAGAAAACAAGTTCTCATGGGGGACTTGCTGTGTCTTTTTTGGGTAAAATACTATTCATCCTATCGAAACAGGTACAGATCCATGGATATCTCCTAGAGCCTACTTTGTCCTGGAAAAGCAGATAATAGAGTACATTTTTATCATGGGTAGGCAAACTAAGGCCCGGGGGCCGGATCCGGCCCATTCGCCTTCTATATCCGACCCGCGGACCATCCAGGAATCAGCGTGTTTTTACATGAGTGGAATGTGTCCTTTTATTTAAAATGCATCTCTGGGTTATTTGTGGGGCATAGGAATTTGTTCATTTTCCCCCTTCAAAATATAGTCTGGCCCCCCACAAGGTCTGAGGGACAGTGGACCAGCCCCCTGCTGAAAAAGTTTGCTGACCCCTGATTTTATCATTTGTATCTGTTGCAAGGGCTCTGACGCAGAGGGGGTCTTGTTATTCTTATCCACATTTTTGTAGCCTTGAGGATTGACTGTAGTACAGGGAGCTGTATCTGAAGATGACTTGGAAACTATAGCAGCAGGATGTTGCCCCCTTCTTCCTAAATAAATACAAGGTTTGGAATCCTGGCCCCATTTCGTGGCAACTATCATGACTGCCCATGCTCTTCCAGGCCTAATGTGATTGGTGCTTTCTTTTGAAATGCTGCACAGCCTGTGACCAATATAGTAGAGCTCCTCCCTGCACAATTTATAAACCCCCCCCCATTTCAAATGACCCCCAGGGAGGAATTGCACATGAAACAATATAATAATTAAATGCTGAATACCACCACCAACAAAATAGGAAACATCAGCTGCAAATTAACAGAACGTAGGCAGACAGCAAGTGATAAAATCTGAGCCATGGGCATATTACACTTAGCTCCTTCCAAAGCCAAAGTAATAAATCTGGCACACATCCGTTTTCGTTATGCTTTTGTCTATATTTTCAAACATTTGTTTTAATTTAATAACATCAGGTATAATTCTAAAATGCTCAGTGTTTTTTTAATGAGACCAATAACTGGTCTTCCATTCAGGGTGCCATTTTATATCTCCGTGGCAGATGACCACATTTCTTTTTCAAGACAGAGTAAGCTAACTTTGTTGGACTTGCTTCTTGATTGTCTTACTGAAGCAGCAACATTTTTAATTTGTTTTTCATCAGTGGCTGCAATTCTTCATGTTTCTTGTTAATTTGGATTTCTTCTCCCTAAATTGCTGATTTCATTTTAAGGAGCACCTTCCATCCAGTTCCTAGAATCTCCTGTAACCAACATGGATCATCCCTTTCTAAGAGCATTGCAGGGACCTTCTAGTTCCACGCAAGGACGTCCCCAGTTAACAGATGGTAAAGGAATTACTTTTCTTTCTTTAAGTAGTCAATGTGTTACCTGATTAAATACACTGTAAGCAGCTGAATAAATGCTGCCTTTCCAGATACGTGACCTAGTATCAGCGATGGTGTAATGGTTGCAGCCTTTAGGGGATTTAAGTTTAGCACACATTTAAAATGTGTTTACTCCTGGGACAGTTCAGCAGTTAAGAGGTTGGAGTGCCTAGTTCAGAAAAGGTACTCTATACAAGGTTGGCCCACCTATGAGGCTCAGTGAGGCAATCACCAGTGTGGTGTAGTGGTTAAGAGCGGTAGACCTGTAATCTGGTGAACCGGGTTCGCTTCCCCGCTCGGCCACATGCAGCTGCTGGGTGAGCTTGGGCCAGTCACACTTCTCTGAAGTCTCTCAGCCTCACTTACCTCACAAAGTGTTTGTTGTTGGGGAGGAAGGGAAAGTAGAATGTTAGCCACTTTGAGACTCCTTTGGGTAGTGATAAAGTGGGATATCAAATCCAAACTCTTCTTCTTCACCTGGGAGTGGGTACATGTGGCAGATCTGAGCCTCTGAGGAATGCATTGCTAGCTGCCTCCTGTGCTTGTCACTTGCTTTCTCTGTCGCCCCACTAGGGGCGTAGCTAGCTGCTCCGGCACTCAGAGTGGTGGGAGTGGGGTGAGCCGCCCACGGGGGTGCCGCAGTGATCCGTGCTCCGCCCAGAGTGGGGGGCGCCACACCAAACGCCCAGAGGGGTGCCCTGGCAAGCTGCCCACGGAGTACGCCTAGTCTACACAAGCCCCACACTGCTGTTTCGGGCAGCGTGGGGCCCTGAGCCACTACATCACTCCCAGGAGAGACATGTGGCTCGGGCGCGCTACAGGCCAGGCCCCATGGTAAGTGCCAACTCCTGTGGTGTGCCATTTTGTCACCCTCTCAGGGATGACACCCGGGGTGGGCTGCATCCCCCCACCCCTTCCTATGCCCCTGCACCCCACCACTGCTTGTTCTTCTCCAGCCTCCATTACAGTGGTACATCGGGTTAAGAACTTAATTCGTTCTGGAGGTACGTTCTTAACCTGAAACTGTTCTTAGCCTGAGGTACCACTTTAGCTAATGGGGCCTCCCACTGCCGCCGCGCGATTTCTGTTCTCATCCTGAGGTCAAGTTCTTAACCCAAGGTACTATTTCTGGGTTAGCGAAGTCTGTAACCTGAAGTGTCTGTAACCAGAGGTACCACTGTATTCTCCCCTGCCACCTTCAGCATGCTAAGGTTTCCCAGGGCTGCCTCCAGTCGCCTCAGGCGGAAGAGATGGCGGGGAGAGCGGTGGCGGTGGAAGGGGCGGCGCCATTTTCTGTTTTGCCTCAAGTGGTAGAACATTCTGGGCCAACCCAAACTGTGCATTAGTCATTATGTGCAAATTCAACAGAAAAAGAAAACTCAAGTCACTCTAGGCAGAGCGTAATGAAGACTCGGTAGGGTACTCTGGCAGAGAGCAAGGGCGTGTATGTGATCTCCTGAGGACTGAGAGTACATAATACAGTTCCTGGTGTTCTGACAACTAGAATAAGCTTCCTTCCAGGATTCCCTGTACAGTTGGAGTCCAGGGAGTTGATGGAAGAGAGGAAGATGACAGAGGGTCTGAGAGAAACTACTATGCCCGGTAGGGATGCGGGTGGCGTTGTGGTCTAAACCACTGAGCCTCTTGGGCTTGCCGATCAGAAGGTCAGCGGTTCGAATCTGCTCAATGGGGTGAGCTCCCGTTGCTCTGTCCCAGCTCCTGCCTACCTAGCAGTTCAAAAGCACACCAGTGCAAGTAGATAAATAGGTCTTGTTGTGCCAGAAGTGGTTTAGTCATGCTGGCCACATGACCCAGAAAGCTGTCTGTGGACAAACGCCGGCTCCCTTGGCCTGAAAGAGAGATGAGCGCCGCAACCCCATAACTACCTTTGACTGAACTTAACCATCCAGGGGTCCTTTACCTTTACCTTTTTTACCTTACTATGTCTGGTGTTAAACTTGGGATACATTTTCTCATTGATGCTGTTCCTATAAATAGGTATTTGAGGTGGGCTGATGCATTTGCTAGTATGTTTTGGTTTGACGTACTAAGGACTGAACAATGAGGGCAAGTCAAAAGCAGCAGTGAACCTTATTTACACATATTCTCTTGTCAAACAAGCTGATTCAAGATGGTAGTTACCTGTTTAATTTCATGTGCTGCCAAGTGTGATTATAGGAGAGATTAGAGGTGCTAAGCATGTTTATTTGGTTCAATTGAGTTCAATTGATTTCAGTGAGTTTTGCTTTCCAGTAAGTATGCTTACAAAATTCTAATGAAATGAAATTTCAATACATTCTGATCTGAGAAACTCTGGAACAAGAGATGATATCCACTTGAGCCATACTCAACAGAGACGACCCCTTGATCTACTTGAGTATGAGTTACATTTGATACAATTCTAGAATTTATCTAATTAAAAGTATGTTGCTTTTAAGGAGGTGCAAGTACAGCAATGCAAGTTGCCTCTTTAAGAAGACCTGACGAAGATGACATGGCTTATTTTGAAAGACAGTATCAGGAACGGGTAAGCCATTGCATACGTAGTTTAAAGCAAAAGCATTTCTTTAAAGTTGAAGATAATCCGCTTTTGCTGAATGTGAGACATTTTTAATTTCTTTATAACTTTGTTGAAATACGTTAGGGCATTATATTGGTATCTCAGAATCAAATGTGGTTGTAGAGAAGGAACTATCAGGTTTCTCATAATTTATTAAGTGATAGAAATTTAAGTAGACAAACACCGCAAACTTGTCAAATGGATTTACCGAGAGCAATGGTTTCCTGTGGTAAGTTTGCTTAGTATTGGCTTGTGGTGATGCAGAGGTGGGCTTTTTCCCTGGTGGCACTGGTATTGTGGCATAATTTCCCTGCTGAAATATGAGAGGCCTCATCTGTCTTGACATTCCACCAACTTTTGAAGCAATACCTGCTTACCCAAGCATTCACTTGATCTCTTAGCCAGAGCCTGTTGTTTTAATTGCTGTGCTGTTTTAAGGGAATTGTTTTATTGTATATTTTAATTATGGTGTATTTTTTAAAATAGTCTGTATTTCTAACAATGTTGTGCAGTTACGTTTTCATGTTTTGTAAACCATCTGGGCATTAAGCAGCAAATGAATAAATTAATTATAGCAATAATGATTATTTTTTCCCCGTGCTCCCTCCATCTCCTATTGCAGTCTCAACATTACAGTGGACCCCCGGGTTACATTACCTTCGGGTAATGTAACTTTTGGGTTTTGCCACACACACATGCGCAGAAGTGCTCTATTGCGCCGCGTGCGTGCGCAGAAATGGTGCCTCTAGATGCGGACTTTTTGGGGTATGTACGGACCCCCAGAACAAATTAAGTTCGTATCTAGTGGGTCCACTGTACTCCAATCTTGGTTTTGCTCTGTAGTGGTCAGCTACTTCAACTGTGAAAAGAAGTGGTGAAAAGAAGGAAGAAACCAGAAAGTATATAGCACACCAGAGTGGCTCACAATGAGAAATGACATTAATGCTAATAGCGAAGAAAAGTGGCTGGATTTAGGTTGGCTGCAGCTAAGTACAGGCAATGTGAAATTTGGCTCACTCCTTGAATCTGCTTCATTTTATAATTGGCTAGGTCTTTAAGTCAAAAGAGGTTATTTTATAAGTGAATATATTTTAATGTTTTTTTTTCTTTTTCTTTTTCATCACAGTTGAAGCAAGAGAAGGCTGCTGCAAAACAGAAAGGAAAGCGTCCAGTCACAAAAAATTCATGATAACCAATAAAACAAAAGAATACACTTTTTTATTCATTGTGATTTATTAGTGTTTAGATAAGTTTTCCTTAATGAATTCAGTATGTGAAGATTTTTCTATAAGATATGTGGTAGTACATCTATTTCTTTCTAGGCATGGAAGCAAAAATAATGTCACCCAACTAGATAGAATATGCCAAGGACAATGGTTTTCTCACTCACATGTTAAGTATCAGCAAAACATGTTTGAATACAGAGATCAAATAATAAAATTATATCCCTTTTTTTAGCCGTTTGGAGCTTCTTTTCTTCTACATAAATTTACACCAGTCAAAGGGTGATTTGTTTTATTTCCTTCAAAGTTTTAAAATGTGATCATTATCTATTTCTAATAAAAATATCAAGCTACCAGTGATAAAAACTCTGGATTTGAAAGGACAGCATGGGGTCAAAATACTCATAAAATTAGACTGTTAAGGTTATGATTTTCATCCTATGAAAGGAATTAACATTAACAATACAGTGAACAATAAGCAATCTATCTGTATACTTTATTGAGCAAAACAGGATGAGATAATACTAAGAAGTGAACTTGTTTGATAGCCACCTGCTGATACTTACAGGTTTATGACCAGCAGTTCCATTAGAGGCTGAAGAAAACTAAGCAGGTTTAACATGAAGCTATACAGCAGAAATGTTGGCATACCAGATATGTGGAGCCGAATTGTACACATGTTTAATTTACTTGAAACAGGTCCTACTTGGTTCAATTAAACTTATAACTAACAGCACAATCTTTAACTACGTCTGCTTAGAAGCATTCTTATTGCTGTTAGTATTATTTCGATTTGAATTCCCATTCGATTCAAGGTAAATGGAATTAGGCTTGTAGCCCAACTTCTTTTAAAACGACAGCCTGACAGTGTGATCCTAAACTGTTTATTTCAGAATTAAATCTCATTGAGTGTGCTCACACTTGCCTCCTAGTAAGGGTACTTAGGGGTGCACTGTTAGAAACACTACTATGAATTTGTTAATACAGTGGTACCTCGGATCTTGAACTCAATATGTTCTAGAAGTCTGTTTGACTTCCAAAACATTTGGAAACCAAGGCACGGCTTCTGATTGGCTGATTGGCCCCGGAAACAATGCCAGCAGCCAAAATGAATGTTTGGCTTCCGAAAAACATTCACAAACCGGAACACTTCTGAGTTTGCGGTGTTCGGGAGCCAATTTGTTCATCAACTAAGCCGTTCGGGAACCAAGGTACCACTGTATAGTACAGTCATTTTCAATCAGTGCACTTCATAAAGTACATTTTACCTTCTCTTTTACTCTGTAGTGCAGAACTCTTTTAAAGACAGGGCCACGTGCCAGTGGTGAGTGGAGACAAAAGGCAAATGTGGGTAGAGCAACAAATGTACATTTTATCTTTGTCCAGACTAGTTTTTATGCTCACCCACACTCCTATCCTCCATCCACACCAGCAAGAGGCATTTTTCAGAGTTGAAGGACACATTGCAGCCAGGCAAAAAACACTGGGTACAAAATCGTGAGGGATGTGGCCAGAGGCGGACTTTGGTATTTGAAATTTCAGCAGTGGTCTGTGCAAGACCAAAAATCAGCACCTCCTGTATCTCGCTTTCCATTCTTCCCAATTCAACACATCATAGTTGCAACACCCCCTAGGCTCAGTGTAGAAAAAGAGGACCACATTTGGTCCCCAGGTCTGAGGTTCTCAACCCTTGCACTATACATCGGATATGGACATCCTATGCCTTCCAGACGTTGAGACTACAACTCCCACAATCCTACACCATTGGCCATACTGGCTGGGGTTGATGTTAGTTGGAGTCTTAACAACAAACAATGGGCTCAAAGTACTCCAGTTCTGCTACAGATCCTTTTGACGTGTGTGTGTGGTGGGGAATGTCCTGTGGAACAGGGAATACATGGCCCAACCAAGTGTTAGGCTTTGATTATTTAAGAAGCTTTTGTTCAGAGAGAAACTACAGAGTCCATGCATACTGGATGGGAAGAAAGGAGGGTTTTGCTACTTGCCCTTTCAAGGAAGGCAAGTCACGTTATGAGGAAAACCGCTTGAAAAGAACAAGTGAACAGCTTCAAGGCGACCTCCCAGTAAACAGGCATAAGAAAGATCGGGTTGCAAACCCCTTTAGATTCTGCGAGCACGTAGTTCAATTGCATGTCTCCCTAAAGACGCCATGTACTGATCGTCAGATTTCAGCTTTGATGGTGCGCCCTGTAATCTTTCCACTCACCGTGGCGATCCTTCGTCTTCAGGTGTCAGATAATCGGCCAATGCTTGCGGTTTGAGGGGATGGTCGGGCTTGGCAGCTCCTCCCCGGGTCCTATTGGACCGCGTTTTATCCACACACACCCTTCCATAGCGCCCAGCCTGCAGATACAAATAGGAGGAGCATGTGAGGTTTCGGGCGGACCCACCCTGCGATTTGTTTGAACGACGGGGTAGCATCTCTGTTTGAAATCAAATATTGATTCAAGTGGTTTGTCCGCGCTTAACTCGGTATAGGGATCCGGCTCTCAAGCGGTAACTAAGAAAGTCTAAAAAAATGCATTTCTGAATTCGCATGTGTAGGAATTCAACATTTATTGCACCAGCCATGCCCCCCGCCCCCACAGCAACTTAAGTGTTATTTATTAAATTTATATATCCCGCCTTTCCTTCTTGGATCTCAGGGCGGTTCACAACATAAAATAAAGTCGCTTAAGTGCCTAGGATCGCAGCTAGATCATACGCGTGTTTGTTTTTCCAAAGTCTCTGCGTTCAATACTGCTCCTTTCCCTGCGCAGGAGTAAGTCCCATTGAAATCAGCGGGGGTTCAATGTCGTCCAGCAGCACCATCGAGCGCCCTGGCACTTTTAAATTATTATGATTATTTCTTTTGCGTCTCAACGCGCCTGTGCGTCAACAGGAGGCGCAGCGGGGCCTATGAAAGCGCGCAAGTCTTACGAAGTCCGCGCGGGTCCATCCTCCCAGCTACCGTCGGCCGCCGCGTGGCTTGCAAAGGGCGCAAGTTTGCGCTTGCTGGTGCCTTGCGGAGGGGTGTGTGTGGGTATTTCTGTGACTTTTCCGCCGACTCCGCTTCTCGTTCAAGGTTCTGTGCCATTCATAAGGATTGGTGCGTTCCTGGACAGACAGAGGGAGCAAGAGGAGGAGGCGGCTGAGGGCGACGCGTAAGTGGCGTCGAGCCTTAGCAAAATGGCGGGGCGTCTTCTTCCAAGAGACAGATTATGGAAAGGCTTCCTCTGAGGGGAAAACAGGCCTGTTACCGTGTGCCTCTGCTTTCCTTTGAATCTTAAATATGTGAGGGGTGGGTGGGTGTGTTTTGAGGCAGGTGGACGGCAGGTTTTTTGCATTTATATAGCGCTTTACACCCCCCCCCCCAACCCGGTACTTTTATCTCTGCAAACCAGACGGCTCTCCTGAAAGAGAGGCCAGGCAATATTAACATCCTCGGGTTTCAGGGGCGGGGTGGGGGGAGAGACTAAAAGCCTTTTGTAGTGTCTTCACACATGTGGTAAAACTTCGGTGTGGAGGAGACCTGACAGCTCACATTTTTACACATACTGTCCTTGCTGTATGTTGTAGGTTTAGGAATAGACTTAGGACATAGAAATTAATAAAATTCTAGGATTATTATTTGGGGTGGGAAGGGAGAAATACAAGATGCAAAGGAATTTTTGGGTCGTCGTCTCCTTGTTCTTTGGCATCACTCATGGCCGAGTAAGATTGTCTTCCATAAACACTGTTTTAACAATGAGTCCGTAAGTAACTGTGGAGGCCAATTCTGGACCCACACGTCATTCCACAGTGGGGACATTGGTTTCTGGGCAGGAGTTGATAATGGTGTGGATTTGCCAAGGTGCCTTCCTCTTAGCACGTTTCTCCCTTGCTAAGACGAGTGTCTTCAAAGCCCATGACTCCTTTGGTAAAGGGGGTGTTCACCAGTTGGAGTGCTTGCAGGCCTGTGTTTCCCAGTTGTCAGTGTTTATACTACATTTTTAAAGATTTGCCTTGAGACAGTCTTTTGTTGACCACCAGCATTATGTTTTCCATTTTTAAGTTCGGAATAGAGTGGCCAAGTTAAGGCCATTAAGGGAAGAATAGGGAGCCATTAAGGGTCGTTAACTGGGACGTGGGTGGTGCTGTGGGTAAAAGCCTCAGCGCCTAGGGCTTGCCGATCGAAAGGTCGGCGGTTCGAATCCCCGCAGCGGGGTGCGCTCCCATTGCTCGGTCCCAGCGCCTGCCAACCTAGCAGTTCGAAAGCACCCCTGGGTGCAAGTAGATAAATAGGGACCGCTCTGGCGGGAAGGTAAACGGCGTTTCCGTGTGCTGCGCTGGCTCGCCAGATGCAGCTTTGTCACGCTGGCCACATGACCCGGAAGTGTCTCCGGACAGCGCTGGCCCCCGGCCTCTAGAGTGAGATGGGCGCACAACCCCAGAGTCTGTCAAGACTGGCCTGTATGGGCAGGGGTACCTTTACCTTTACCTTAAGGGCCGTTAACAAGACAAGGGCCCTAGGTATGACCAGAGACTGGGGATTTGGAAGGTTGCCCTGGTAACTGCTCTGGGGAAGGGCAAGGGGATTCTGGGAAGAAGGAGGGGGAGGGGAAGGCTGGGATACATCTTTGAGGGAAGCCGCCTCTGGAAATGTGCGTGCTGAAGGTGCAAATAGGCGAATAAACCCTATCTAGGGTTGCCATGTTTCAGAAAGTGAAAATCCAGACCACGAAAGTTGTTGAGCTGCTTTATTGGGGTGGGGGCGCAAAGTTGTTGAGCTCAACCAGGAAAGAGATATTTGGTTCATGGTAGATAATCCATTGAAAGCGTCAATGCAGTCTGCTGGCAGCTGCAAAGAATACAAATTCCATGCTAGGGATTATTGGGAAATTCCATGGTAGGGATTATTCGCTGAAAATAGAACTGGCTGTATTGAAATACCCTATATATGTCCTTGACTGGAATATTGTGTACAGTTGCCATATACCGAAAGGATATTGTAAGGCTGGAAAATGGCAACCAAATTTATGGTGGGATTGGAACACCTTGCCTATGAGGAAAGGCTAAAGCAGATGGCACTTTTTAGTTTAGAAGGTAGGTGTGCAAGGTGGGCATGATGTGAGGCTTGTAACGTTATGTACGGTGTGGAGAAAGTTGGTGGAACATAAGAACCTTTCTGGATCAGGCTGAAGGTTCATTTAGTCCAGCATCCCATCTCACAGTGACTGACCAGATGCCTATGG